TCTCTTCTGACCTCCTCGGGCATTGCACAACATGGGTGCACTTATATACATGCAGGCAATATACTCATACACATAAAATTAAAATAAATACATAATTTTTTTTTTGCAACAGGGTCTTCCTGTAGCCCCAACTGGCCTGAAATTCACTATGAGACCAGGCTGGCCTTGACCTCACAGTGATCCATCTACCTCTGCCTCGGGAGTGCTGGGATCAAAGGTGTGTGCCACCACTCCTGGCAAAATGATTTATTTTTATTTTATGTGTATGATTGTTTTGCCTGCAAGAGTTTAAGGTCATCCTTAGTTACACTCTTATCCAGAGGCCAGCATGAGAGTCAGGAGACTCTGTCTCAAACAAACAAACAAACAAATGGTTAAGAGGGCTGGAGAGATGGCTCAGAGGTTGAGATCCTGTATTGCTCTTCCATCAGCCCTGAGTTCAGTTCTAAGCACCCATATCTGGGTTGGCTCACAATTACCTGCAACTCCAGCTTCAGGGGATCCAGCTCCCTCGTCTGGCCTCTGCAGGCACATGCACAAACATATACACACATATACAAATAAATAATAATAATAATAATAATAATAGTAATAATAATAATAATGAGTAATTTTTGCCACACATGTGTATGAGTGTATTGCCTGCATGTATGTGAGTGCACCCCTGTCGTGCAATGCCATGGAGGTCTGAAGAGGTCTTCAGATTCCCCTGGGAACTGGAGTTAAGGACAGCTCGTAGCCACCATGTGGGTGCTGGAAATCGAACCCAGGTCCTCTGCTAGTGCAGTCAGTGCTCTTAACCACTGAGCCATCTCTTCAGCCCCAGTGGTGCATGCTTTTAATCCTAGCACTCGGAGGCAGAGGCAGGTAGGTCTCTGTGAGTTTGAGGCCAACCTAGTCTATGTAGCAAGTTCCAGGCCAGCTGGAGCTACAGGGAGATCCCGTCTCCAAAAGACCAAACAACTAAAAAAAAAAACCTCCACCACCAGCACCACCAACAAAATTTGTTTGAGGGTTTTTGGAAATGGGGTCTCCCATTTTGTAGAGGACCCAGGTCCTCTACAAAATCAGTCAGTGCTCTTAGCTGCTGAGCCATCTCTCCAGCCCTGGAAGTAAAAATTACTGAAAGAACAAACAATTTGGTTGCCTGGGCAGGGTGACAAGCTCTAATGCTCCTAACCCTTGGGATCTGGAGGCAAGAGGATCAGGAGTTCAAGGCTAGCCTAGTACATAGGGAGCCTGAGGCCAGCTTGGGCTACATCAGACCCTAGTGAAAAAAAAGGTGAACACCTCTTTCTCCTCCCTTCCTGAGCTGGGAATTGAACCCAGGGTTTTGTACGTTCTGCACAAGCACTCTACCACAGAGCTACACTCACTCCAGAAAAGAATTCCTTTTCTTTTGACCTGGAGCTCACTATATAGATCAGGGTCTCTTTTCTCACACAGATCTGCCTCCAGAGTGCTGGAATTGGTGTCTGTTACCAAGCCTGGCAAGAGAGAATTTTTTTTTTCTTTTTCTTAAGTTTTATTTTTAGTTTTTTTGAGACAGGGTCTCCCTGTAGCCCCAGCTGGCCTAGAACTCACTATATAGATCAGGTTGGCCTGGATCTCACAGAGATCTGCCTGCCTCTGCCTCCCAAGTGCTGCAATAAAAGGCATGTGTCACCATGCCCAGCCTTTATTTAAAAAAACAAAAACAAACTCTAATTGTGTGTATGTGTATGTGTACATGAGTGCAGGTGCCCACAGAGGCCAGATGCATCAGGTCTCCCTAGCACTAGAGTTACAGGCTTTTATGAGCCACCTGACATGAGCACTGGGAACTGAACCTGGATTTATTTTATTTTATCTTATGCGTGTATTGCCTACATGTAGGTAAGTACACCCATGTCCTGCCATGCCTGTGGATGTCAGAAGAGGCCATTGGATCCCCTGGCACTGGAGTTACAGACAGTTGTTAGCTGCCATGTGGGTGCTGGGATTTGAACCTGGGTCTTCTGCAAGAACAACCAGTGTTCTTAAACACTGAGCCATCTCTCCAGCCCCTGAACCTGGATCTTCTGTAAGAGAAGCAAGTGCTTTTAACTGATACAGAGCTATCTGTCCAGTGGGATGATGAAGATATTCTAAAGTTTATGTGATGATGGTTGCATCATTCTGTGAATACACTAAAAATCATAGAATTATACATTAAACAGGTGAACTGTGCACTATATCTCAATAAAGCTGCTTAGAGTTCTGGAAAAAAATCAGGGAAAAATGAGACATGCCTGTAATCCCAGTACTTGAGAGGTGCAGGCAGATCCTTTTTTCTTTGTTTGTTTGTTTTGAGACAAGGTCTCCCTTTAGGCCCATCTGACCTGGAACTTGTTATGAGACCAGGCTGACTTGATCTTGTAGGGATCTGCCTACCTCTGCTTCCAGAGTACTGGGATTAAAGGCATGTGCAACCACTCCAGGCAGAACTTACAAAAATAAAAATAGGCCAGGCATGGAAGCACAGGCCTTTTATCCTAGCACTCAGGAGGCAGAGGCAGGCAGATCTCTTTGAGTTCAAGACCAGCCTGTTCTACATAGTGAATTCCAGGCCAGCTAGGGCTACAGAGAAAAAGGCCAGTAAACAAATAAATAAGCTAAAAATAAATAAGGCAAATGGCTTCTGAGGTAGGACAGGGAAGGTTGACCTCTGGCCTATACACATACACACACACACACATACACACAAACACAGGAAAGGGGTTGGAGAGATAGCTCAGAGGTTAAGAGATCTGGCCTGGCTGTTCTTGCGGAGGACCTGGGTGCTAGCACCCTCATGGCAGCTAACAATCCTCCCTAACTCCAGTTCCAAGGCAGTCAACGCCCTCTTCTGGTCTCTGCAGGCACTATACACGATGCACTTAACATACATGTAGGCAAAGCATTCATACACAGAAAATAAAAATGAATAAAATATAATAGTAATACTTTGGAAAGACAAACAAAAAAAAAAAAGGCAAAAAAAAAAAAAAGCCAGGCATGGTGGCGCACGCCTTTAATCCCAGCACTTGGGAGGCAGAGGCAGGTGGATCTCTGTGAGTTCAAGGCCAGTCTGGTCTACATAGTGAGTTCCAGGACAGTGGGGCTACAGGGAGACCCTATCTCAAAAGAGACCAAAAAAAAAGTAAAAAATAAATCAGCAAAACAAATTCGTAAATGCAAGGGTTGCAGATGTGCCCAGTGGTAGAGTACTTGTCTAACATGCATGAGGCCCTAGGTTCAATTTCCAGTTCCTCAAATACATAGAACAGAATGATAGATAAATAAATAAAAGCCCAGTGGGTAAAGGTGCTTGTTGCCAAGCCTGACAATCTGAGTTCAATCCCCAAGACCTACATGGTGGAAGGAGAGAACTGACTCCTGCAAGTTGCTCTCTGATCCCCACACACACTTGCACCATAACACATGCACACGCACACACCCAAATAAATAAATGTGGAATAAATCAACAAACAAATATGGTTAAGCTTGGGGGCATGGTTCAGTCGTAGAATGAGTTCTCAGGGTGTATGAGCCCCTGGGTTTCATCCCTAGAGCCAAAAAAAATAATGAAGAAAAAATTGTCTTACTTAATTCACTTAAGTTCAGCATTTATTTTTATTCTAAGAGCATCATTAGCTGATTTCATGGCAGTGGAAACACCACAGTGTGCTTATACAACCTTACATGGCCCAAGTCAATCACTCAGCATGACCTCTTCCTACAGTTGAGGGATGCTGACTAAATCAAGTAAAATAAGACAGAAAGTATAGCATTGTGTTCTGTATATAGCTGTACTCGTGTGTGTGTGTGTGTGTGTGTGTGTGCGCGCGCGTGTGTGCCCGCTCACTGGGTATTGAACCAGGGCCCAACACTCTAAACACTCCCTGCACTAATGAGCCATGCCGTCGGCCCCTGGATATGCTGTGCTTTTTCTGGTTTCGTTGCTTGCATCAACAGCTCTGTGAACACAGGAATAATATATCTCAGTGGAAAGAGCGTTTTCCTAACGCGCAAGGCCCTGGGTTTGGTTCCTAGTACTGGGCAAAATAAGAAACAGAAGAGCACTGCCTTTGTTTTATTTCATTATTTTAGTATTCTGTGTATGGGCACCGAGGGTGGACAGCAGAGAACAATCTTGTGGAATTTGTTCTCTTCTACCCTTTTTTTTTGTTGTTGTTGCTTTTGAAACAGGGTCTCCCTGTAGCCCCAACTGGCCTGGAACTCACTATGTAGACCAGGCTGGCCTTGAACTCACAGAGATCCATCCGCCTGCCTCTGCCTCCCGAGAGCTGGGATTAAAGGCGTGCACCACCACGCCTGGCCTGGTTCTATTTTTTTTTTTTTTTAAATTACAGTGTGGTTTATTGGGTGTGAATGAATGTAGGACTTCAGAGGACAAGTTTAAGGGATTCTTTCTACCACGTGGCTTCTGAGGCTAGAACTCAGGCTGTTAGGCCTGGCAGTAAGCGCTCTTACCCGCTGAACCATCTAGTCTGCTTGGTTTCTATTTTTAAAATTATTTTTTGTAGTGTTTTTCAATTTGCAGGCACATGCTCTACTGCTGAGTTACATTCTTCCGCATTTGTGCCTTATTACCTGGGATTGTGACGCCCAAGCCAGATGCTCTGGATGGTTCTTATAGGGCCTGGGTGTGGAGTTGAGTGGTGGAGGGTTAGACTGGAGACCTTGGATTCCAACCCCAGCGCCTTATACACAAAAAAAGGGCTTAATTTTTCTCCTTTTGGCTTTTTTTTTGGAGACAAATTCTTGCTCCTTAGCCCAGGCTGGCCTGGAAGTTGTGATTCTACAGCCTCAACCTCTTGAGTTGCAAAGAATAAAAGCTGAGCCAACTCAAGTCTTCAACCTATACCCTTTTCCATGGGGGGGGTGTTAATGGAAGCGCCAAGTCCTTTCTCCCCTCCCCTGCCTTTACTTTTGTAATTTTCGCCTGGAAATCCTTTTTTTTTTTTTTTTTTTTCCAACATTCAACAGTCCCTCCAAGCAGAGATCTGCAGACTGGGAAGGAGTCAAACCAGACGAGGGAGTGGGGGTTGGGACGCACGAAGAATGTTCCAGGCAGAGGTGAGGCAACAGCACACACATCTGAGTCTCCCGGAGACCAAAGTGGGGGGTGGGGGTGGGGATGAGAGCAAAGAAGTGTGCATGAGGTTCTGCGGCGCAGCGAAGGGGGATCCGGAGAGGGGGACGGCCGGGCCGATACGCGTGGAAAACCGGGGTGCCCAGCAGTCCCGCGCTGCACCCACAGAAGCCGCCCCTTCCACCACCACCGAGAAGCCCCCGCAGACAGCAACTCAAAGAAGTTTCTCCTGATTGGAGGGAGGGCGGGGAGGCTGGGAGAAGGGGCGTGAGGGTGTGAGTCCCACTGTCATGTAAATATCCCTCGCGGGCAGGGCGGCTGCCAGGCCGACTTAAACCTCCGGCACCTGGGGCCGCCTCCTGCTCCCAGCTTCCTGCAGCCGGCCGCTTCGGGCCCGCGCTCTGCTCGGCCGACCTCCGTCGTGGCATGGCCCCGAAACGGCAATCAGCGCCCCTGCCTCAGCCCAAGAAGCCCCGACCCGCCGCTGCCCCAAAGCTGGCCGACTCGTCAGCCTCCCCGGGCTTGCAGAAGGGAGGTAAGTCCCTCCATGGCCTTCTCTTTGGGGACCTGAAGGACTTGATCGACTCCGGGATGGCTTCCCCCGCCCCAATCCCTCTTGAAATGGGACCTTCCCCCCATGCACACCCTCCTGAAAGGCTGTAAGCTAAGGCTTGGGGAGTGGGAATTGAGGCTGATGCAACGGGAGGAGCTGAGAAGGCGCGGGACTTGGGAGACCCGAGCAGAGAGGGGCGACTTCCTCTGTCCCCCGGCACCACGTGGGGCTGATCTTGTCTGCCCAGCACCCCTCCAACTCCCTCCTGTGGGCCTTCTGCCTTTGCAAATGGCCCCAGCAGCCACCTCCAGGCCTTCCACCTCTCCAGACCCGAGTCCTCCCGGATCTGTTCCCCTCTCTCTGTTTCTCCGGCCTGAATTACTGCCACCTCGTGTGGCTCCCTGCTTCCGCCTTTTCCCATCCTGCCCCAGCAAAGCCAGTCACGTGACCGACTCCTAGCCTTTAAGACCCTCCCTGGCTTCTCGGTTGCCCTCCAGGAACGGACTAAGACTTCCAGGATCCCGCCCACCTTGTCCCCACCCTCCACTTCCAGGCTGCACCCGCGTGGGATTACACCCTTCATCTACCCCAGACCCTTGGAGCCGCATTTTCTCACCTCCGGGCCTGGGTGGCCTGGGTGCCCATGCGTTCTCTGCTAGGCTCCCATCTCGGATGATGTGAACCTCCCCAGGGGGAGCTCCCCAGCTCTGGGGTGTGTGTGGAGATTTCATGGTATCCCCCCCCATTCCTGGCACTCAGTTCATTTTATATTCAAGTTGTGGGTTTCCTTTCTCCCATGTTGGTGGTGGGGGATGCGTTTCTCAGCTTGGTGTTGGGTCCTATCCCATGCTGGCTTGGTGTATGATGGAGTCTCGGTGTGGTTTGGGCTATACTGTTGAAAAGGATTGAGGAAAGCATCGATTTGGCTAAGCCGTAGTCATACTAGTGGAAAAACCACTGGGTACTGAGTCTGTTTCTCAGTGCTCTGTAGCCCTGTTTCCCTTTAATGAGTTTGTGTCTTTTTTTCTGTAAAACGGGTGATTGAGTTTGACATTTACTTTTTCCTTTTTTGCCTTTTGGAGTCAGGGTCTTATCTAGCCAGTCTGTTGACCTCCACACGAACTTTCTGATTCCAAGAGCTGGGGTAGCATTCTGGGTGGCACACCCAAACCCCTCCCCTCACTCCCACATCTAGGTATGGAGTCTAGGGCTTCAAACATGCTAAGTAAGTACCCTTTCTCATGCCTGCTGAGATGTAGACAGGTCCTACTTAGTAAAAGCACTTAAGGTCCTTTGAAATGGGTGGTAAATTCTTATTCTTTCTCTTTTTTTTTTTTGGTCTTTTTGAGACAGGGTCTCCCTGTAGCTCCAGCCCCAACTCACTATGTAGACCAGGCTGGCCTTGAACTCAGAGTTCCTCCTGCCTCTGCACTTGCCACACCTGGCACATTCCTTGGTGGGTAGGCCTTTCAGGTCTTCCATTTAGCTTCCTGGGAGAAATAGCTAGACCACAAGATATGGGGAAGGGGGTGCAACCACTGAGTACCACTCAGGTGGACCCTGGTGACCTACCTGGCACTGTGTCCAGCCCTTCCCTATCCCATCATCCCTTTTGGCACCAGCATGTGTTGGGTTTCCCATCCTGCAGATCAGAAAGAGGCTAAGGAAGGCGTGGGCATGGTCAGCAGGCAAAGCTATCCTAAGCCAAGATTTGCCAGCCAGCCGTTTCTGTTCCAGTCTCTCCTGTGTCCTCTTCAAAGGAAGTGGGGTGAGAGGGACAGAAGGCAGAGCTCCTGGTTGGCGAGAGCCATCATGCCGGGTGGCTTCCTTATCTCCCCTTGCCCAGGCCCCTCCCCTGTTTACTGGATCTCTGGCCCTGTTGCTTTCTCTTTTCTTTTCCACTTCCTAGTGTAGTCATTGCTTTGTTTTTTATCTTGAGAAGTGCTGGGAGAAAGGACAGAAAGAGGAGCAGATGGCCCTAGGGCTTGATGGGAAAGGGTACATGGGAGCCTGAAGAAGACCCCCTGAGCTCCCTGGGTTCACTGTAGAACAGGCACTTGATAGGTGCCCTGGAAAACTGGTACCGACCTGTGGAGAAGGCTTTATGGCTGAAAAGAGCAGCAGTTCTTCAGACCAAGTTTCATCCTGGTCCTAGTGGCCCATGAAGGCCATTCAGTGAGGTGTGACTTGTATGTAAAAAAAAGGAAACAGCCCTAAACAGCCGGATGTGGTGGTACACACCTTTTAATCCCAGCACTAGGAAGGCTGAGGCAGGCAGATCTCTGAGTTTCAAGGCCAGCTTGGGAGATGGCTCAGCGGTTAAGAGCACTGACTGCTCTTGCTGAGGACCTGGGTTGGATTCCCAGCACCCACAGGGCGACTATGAACCGTCCTTAACTCCAGTTCCAGGGGAATCCAAAGCCCTCTTCTGACCTCCACAGCATTGCATGACACAGGTGCACTCACATACACGCAAGGCAATACACTCATAAAATTAATAAAATTTTTTTTAAAAAATGGTCTGGCTGGCGTGGTGGTACACGCCTTTAATCCCAGCACTTGGGAGGCAGAGGCAGGCGGATCTCTGTGAGTTCAAGGCCAACCTGGTCTACATAGTGCGTTCCAGGACAGCTAGGGCTACAGGGAGACCCTGTCTCAAAAAGACCAAAAAAAAAAAAAGGTCTGGAGAAATGAGAAATGGCTCAGCGGTTAAGAACACCGGTTGTTCTTGCAGAAGACCCGGGTTCAGTTCCCAGCACCCCCATGGCAGCTAACAACTGTCCATAACTCCAGTCCCAGGGGATCCAACAGCCTCTCTGTCCTCCACAGGCATTGCATGACACGGGTGCACTTACTTAAATGCAGGCAATGCACGCATACACATAAAAAATAGTAATAAATTTTTCTAAAAAGACCAAAAACAAAAGGCAAGGAAACAATTCTATCACCCTTAGTGAGGGTGAGTATTGATTATCTGTACATCTTAGGTCACATTCCAAGAAACTGAGTGACATGGGGTGGGTAGAGCTCAAGTTCAAGGCCTTCCATGTCTTTCTAACCAGGTCCAGGCCAAGTTCTGTTGTAGCTTTAAGTTGAGTTGCAGCTGGATGACAGAGGACTTGCCTCCCATGCTCCAAGCACCAAGTTCCACATTAGCATCTCAGGGCTTGATTTATCTGCATAAACCCTACTTTGTATCTTATGATTACTTGAGGCCCTTGGTACATGCTCTAGGGGGTGTGCCAGAGTAAAGCCTGCCTACTAAGGGCTGCTTTTTTAATTTTTCGTTTATAGACAGTGTTTGCACACTGTAGCACCGGCTTACAGCTACGGTGCCTCCTGGCTGGTTCTGCTTGTGGAATTCCTCTGCAATTGTTCAGTGACATCTCAGGGCTGGCTTGAAGTTAGCAAATGTTAGAGATCACACAAATCTCTGCTGTTTATTGGTTGTCAAACATTTCCCATATGAATTGATCAGCGCTATTAATCACTCTCCTTTTTTATTGATTTATATTTTGGTGTTTTTGAGACAGGGTCTCCCTGTAGTCCTAGCTTGCCTGCAACTTGCTACATAGATCAGACTGGCCTTGATCTCACAGAGATCTGCCTGCTTCTGCTTCTGGAGTGCTGGGATTAAAGCAGCACGTCCAGCTTCAGTTTTTAAAATTTTTACTTGATGTGTATGAGTGTTGCCTGCATGTATGTACACACACCTGTATGTGGTGCAGTGCCCCACGAAGAGGGCATCAGATCCTCTGGAACTGCAGTTAGCCACCATATAGGTGCTGGGAGCCAAACCCAGGTCCTCTGCTGAGCCTTCTCTTTAGCCCCAATAATTCTCTTTTTAACGGATGTGTGTGGTTGTGGTGAAGGTCTGTAATCCCAGTGCTTTGGGCTGAATAGAGGCCAGAGGTTCTTGGTGGGTTAGCCTGGTCTACATAGCAAGGCATTTGCCTACTGCAATAGATGAGTGGAATTCTACACAATTTAAGGTTTGTAAGGAATGTTTGGGTGAATTTCTGGTTTGGAGAAAAAGTTCTATGAAGACATTTTATTTGCGTGCTCTCAGTATGGAGTGTATGCCCTGTATTTAAGAGGGAGTGATTTGTGTCTTTCCTGGACTGTTGGGACCCAGGACAGGAGAGAAGCGCTGTTTTTTAAGAAAAGTCTCTTCCCTATTATGGTTCAGGCACCTTTCTCTAAATCGGGCCTTGCCTTCCTGTAGAACCTTTAACATGGAAGAACCCTTAACCTTTTATCTCCCTCTATTTGCTATCCACCTCCAAAGTTGTGCAAGGACGGGCAACTGGTAGAGTATGGTTTTTCGAGAACCGAGTAGGTCCAAAAGGATTTGTGAACTAACTTGGCAGTTCCTACCTTCAGGGAGGGACCTACACATTAGTGACTCTGACAAAAGTATGAAAGGTGACATCCTTTTAAAATGTCATATTGGACCCCAATGCGGAGAGATTTGACTTGGCCCCAGGCCCCAGCGAGGCTTGCACCCTAGAAATGGCCCTGTGAGCTCCAGGCTGTGCAAACTAGAGTTTGAGTTGGGACCTCGGATGGAAGGAGGTGCCACTTTCTCCCACGACGAGGGAGCCCCGGGAAGCGCCGCAGGGCCCGGTGTGCACGCAGCTAGGTGACCCCCGAGAACCGCGCTTTGCAGTGGCTGCGCGCACCCCTCTCCCGCGCCCGGAGCCGCGGGGAGGAGGGGAGCCTTTCCGACACCACGTGACTCCCGGGAGGGAGGAGGGAGGGCCGCGCGCAGCCCGCCGACGCCCCGCCCCTTCAGTCGCCGCGCCGCGCTGCGCGCCAATGTCCCGGGTCGGGCTGGAGAAGGGGAAAGCGGGGGAGGGGAACGCGGGGCAGGCCCTTGCGTCGCCGCGTTCCTTCCTCCCGCCTCCCCGCGCAGGCGCCGCCCCTTCTCCGCAGCACCAGCCAATGGCGGCGCGGCGCGAGCTTCTCCGGCTGGGGGCGGAACCTACCCGCAGCCTCTGGCGCGCCCG